AAACCGCTTAGAGAGGCCTGAAAGGCCTATGAAGCGGTATATAAGTCTACTGCTATTGCTATTGCTATATTGCCAAGCAGTGCGACTTTTTGCATTTGACTGATGGTGATTTTGTCAATTTTAAACTGTTTTAAATCTAATTCCAGTGCTTTTGGAATAGCACCCAGTGTGCCGATTACCACTGGAATTACCACTGCTGGTTTGTGCCATAATCGTTGAATTTTGATTTTTAAGTCCTGGTATTATTATTATTATTATTATCATCATCATCATCATCATCATCTAAACAACTTGGAAGTTGTGCTCCCAACATCCCTGCTGAGCTTGGGGGGGGGGGGGCGAGAGGAGGAAATGAAGGGTCTCCTTTTCCACTTCTTGAATTTTAAAAGTTTGCAAAACTAAACATTTGCAAAAGGGACCCCTTCAAATAAAGACACTTGCTACCACTCGGGATATAGTTTGGTTCAGTTCTGTTGTCGCCCTTGCAAAATTCAGCATTCGTTCTTTGGAAAAAAAATGAGGATTTTTGAGGAACGCCAGCAAGGAAGTGAGATGCTCTGGTGGCAGCAGATTTGAGGAAGGGGGGGGGGGAGAGAATTGGAGGAGGAGGAGATGCGACTTCGGTCGAATTGGCCAAGGACTCACTCAGCGCCGCATTGCGTCGGTAATGTCCGGGACGTTAGCCCCCTCCTGGGGAGACCAAGAATTGCATGAAAAAGCTGGACAGGAGAGAGGGAGAGAGAGAGAGAGAGAGAGAAAATGTTTTAAAGGGAGGGGAGTAATTCCAGATAGCAGGAAGCTGGGGGGTGGGTGGGTGTTTCCAGATGGAGGGAATTATTCCCCTTCTATTTAGACCGTGATTTAAAAAGTAGGCTGGATTATAGATCTGAGTTTGGAAGGAACTGACCCTACTCCTTTCTTCGGTTGTGGGAATGGATGATGGGGGGGAAAGAGATTGAGTTTGCTGGCAAAGCTGCTAATCCTTGAGGCTAGTCCTCAAGCTTTCCCAGATCCATGTAGAGAGGAAGGGTTGTGTACAGGTAATCCTCAATTTCGGACTGTAGTTGGACAGTCATAAAGAGGCTCGCCACATCACCGCCCCTACCTTTTCAAGCTTCTGTATGGCAGTTGAGCAAACCTGTTGGCCGTAAAGCAAACAGAGCGGTCATTAAGTGAACCCATTGTTTGCTAGGGGAGAGGAAGAAGGGAGGGAGGAGGAAGAAAGAGAAGGGAAAGGAAGGCATAGGGAACGAAGGGAGAAAGAGGGAGGGAAGGAGGAATAGAGAGGGAAAGGAAAGAGAAAGAGGGAGGAAGAAAGGAAGAAAAGGAGAAAGAAGGAACTAATTAAGGAAGGAAGGCATAGAGAGGGAAGGAAGGGAGAAGGAGGGAGGGAGAAACTGAAGAAGGAAGGAATAGAGAGGGAAGGAAGGGAGAAAGGAAGGAAGAGAGGGAAGGAAGGAAGAAAGGAGAAAAGGAGGGAGGAGGAAAAGGGAAGGAAGGGAGATGGCGGGAGGGAGAAACTAAAGAAGGAAGGAATAGAGAGGGAAGGAAGGAAGGAGAAAAGGAGGGAGGGAGGAAGAGAGGGAAGGAAGGAAGGAGAAAAGGAGGGAGGAGGAAGAGGGAAGGAAGGGAGAAGGAGGGAGGGAGGGAGAAACTAAAGAATGAAGGAATAGAGAGGGAAGGAAGAAAGGAGAAAAGGAGGGAGGGAGGAAGAGAGGGAAGGAAGGGAGAAAGGAGAAAAGGAGGGAGGAAAAAACTAAGGAAGGAAGGAATAGAGAGGGAAGGAAGAGAAAGGGAGGGAGAAAGCAAGGAATAGAGAGGGAAGGAAGGGAGAAAAGAGAAAAGGAGGGAGGAAGAAACTAAGGAAGGAAAGAATAGAAAAGGAAGGGAGAAAGGAATGAAGGAGAAGGAGGGAGGGAGGACTAGAAGGAAGGGAGAGAGAGGGAGGGAGAAAGGAAAGAAGGAAGGAATAAAGAGGGAAGGAGGGGAATCAACCAAGGAAGGAAGGAATAAAGAGGGAATGGGAAAAGGAATAAAGATGGAAGGAGGGAGGAAAGAAGGAACTAAGGAAGGAATAAAGAGGGAAGGCGGGAGGAAGGAAAGAATAGAGAGGGACTAGAAAAAGGGGAGGAAGGCATCGAGGGGAGGAAGGAAAGCGAAGGAAGGGAGGAAAGAAAAACGGGTGGGAAGGAGGAAAGAATATCTCCCTCCCTCTCACGCTTTCTCCCTCTTAACACCCACCCCCAAACCCTTTGCCCCTTCCTCTCCCCCTTGCCCCCCTGCAGGTTGGTGCGATGGCCACCATGCTGTACCCTCGGGAGGAGAAGCTGGGGAAGATGAGCCAGGATGAGATCGTGCTGGGCACCAAAGCCGTGGTGCAAGGCCTGGAAACCCTGCGCAGCGAGCACCACTCCCTCCTGGCGGCCCTGCTGGACACCATCGGCCGCCTGGAGCAGCCGCCACCACAGCAACAACAACCGCACGAGAAAGGCGCCGCCCAGGAGAAGGCCCTGCTCCTCCGGAAGTCCCTGGAGGCCATCGAGCTGGGCCTCGGAGAAGCCCAGGTACCTCCCGCCGGAGACCCACCCCCTGAAATTGAGACCCCTGTCTCACCCGCATCCAGCTCGGCTGACTCGTCTCCCCTCGTTCTGTGTTGTGGGTCTTCGTTGTGTCTTTTTAACACAACGGCGTCTTGGCTTAACTTCGCAGAGGCTCCGCAAATGTCTGAGCTCACGGTTATGTCGGGAGTCCTCGACTTACGGCCACGGTGGAGCCCAGCATTTCCGTTGTTAAGCGAGACGGTGGTTAAGGGAGGTTTTCTTGGTCCCCCTTTTGCCACCGTTCTTGCCCACCGGGGTTAAGCGACTCTCCGACGTTGTTTAAGCGAGGAATGTTTTTTTGTTCAGCAAATCTGGCTTCCCCGTTGACACATGGCTCGATCATGTGACCCTGGGACACAGCAGCCATTGTACATAGAGGTTGTCCTCGGTTTATGACCACAAGGTAGCCCGACATTTATGTCACAAAGATTTAAATAACTTTGTCACTTTGAATGTATCTATCTATCTATCTATCTATCTAGTCTGTCTCTATTTCTCTAGCTATCTACTTTATCGCTTGCTCTCTCTCTCCATCCATCCATCCATCCATCCATCCATCCATCCATCCATCCATCCATCCATC